GAGAATAGAACTCCAATTCAAAGTCGAAATTGATCATATATATATAGGTGAGGCTCCCACTATATAAGTTTACAAAATCCACCTCAAATGTTAATCTTCATCATATAGTTAGTCATCTCTTTTTGGAAGCTGGGCTCTCTACGTTTTGATATATGTCTTATATGCCACATCTTCTTCTGCTGTAACACCACTTTCTGAGGGGCAACATCGACTTCCTCAAATTAAACGCTTCAAGTCCCCATCGTGCATGATTCTTCAAGTCCTCGTCGTTCAAAAACTAGTGACACATACATATATATTATATGGGTTTCTATACATCTAATTTGTTTATCTCTCTTAATCGTTAGTTAATTATAATTTTTATATTTGTTCTTTTTTTTAATTTTATTTTAAGGATATTTATAAATATCATCGAATGCGCCCATGTGCTGATTATGTATAAGAGTTGGGCTACATAACTTTTGTTTTAAAGCCAGGAAATTGAATACATCGTACTAATTTCTTTATATTTATTTCATGTTGGTAGTGGTTTCAATTGAACTATGTCATAATTGTAAAAATTTAAGTAACAATATAATGCAGCCGTATAAGGTTAGAATTAGGAGTTTTATATTTATCTACTTTCAACTTTATTATCTTTATCTTTTATTTGAAAGTTGTTTTTGGATAATTATAGTAATATTAGGATATATTTTAAAATAGGAATTATCTCTTCTAGTTTCTTTAAGAATTATCTCAGCCACTTTCCATTATTTATTACGGCAATTATTATGTTTTTATTTGAAATTTGAGTTCACGTAGGATTAAGGCTAGGAAACGCATTAGCTTATTTAAGGGCCTTATTAGAATTCTACTTCATATGAGAATAGAACTCCAATTCAAAGTCGAAATTGATCATATATATATAGGTGAGGCTCCCACTATATAAGTTTACAAAATCCACCTCAAATGTTAATCTTCATCATATAGTTAGTCATCTCTTTTTGGAAGCTGGGCTCTCTACGTTTTGATATATGTCTTATATGCCACATCTTCTTCTGCTGTAACACCACTTTCTGAGGGGCAACATCGACTTCCTCAAATTAAACGCTTCAAGTCCCCATCGTGCATGATTCTTCAAGTCCTCGTCGTTCAAAAACTAGTGACACATACATATATATTATATGGGTTTCTATACATCTAATTTGTTTATCTCTCTTAATCGTTAGTTAATTATAATTTTTATATTTGTTCTTTTTTTTAATTTTATTTTAAGGATATTTATAAATATCATCGAATGCGCCCATGTGCTGATTATGTATAAGAGTTGGGCTACATAACTTTTGTTTTAAAGCCAGGAAATTGAATACATCGTACTAATTTCTTTATATTTATTTCATGTTGGTAGTGGTTTCAATTGAACTATGTCATAATTGTAAAAATTTAAGTAACAATATAATGCAGCCGTATAAGGTTAGAATTAGGAGTTTTATATTTATCTACTTTCAACTTTATTATCTTTATCTTTTATTTGAAAGTTGTTTTTGGATAATTATAGTAATATTAGGATATATTTTAAAATAGGAATTATCTCTTCTAGTTTCTTTAAGAATTATCTCAGCCACTTTCCATTATTTATTACGGCAATTATTATGTTTTTATTTGAAATTTGAGTTCACGTAGGATTAAGGCTAGGAAACGCATTAGCTTATTTAAGGGCCTTATTAGAATTCTACTTCATATGAGAATAGAACTCCAATTCAAAGTCGAAATTGATCATATATATATAGGTGAGGCTCCCACTATATAAGTTTACAAAATCCACCTCAAATGTTAATCTTCATCATATAGTTAGTCATCTCTTTTTGGAAGCTGGGCTCTCTACGTTTTGATATATGTCTTATATGCCACATCTTCTTCTGCTGTAACACCACTTTCTGAGGGGCAACATCGACTTCCTCAAATTAAACGCTTCAAGTCCCCATCGTGCATGATTCTTCAAGTCCTCGTCGTTCAAAAACTAGTGACACATACATATATATTATATGGGTTTCTATACATCTAATTTGTTTATCTCTCTTAATCGTTAGTTAATTATAATTTTTATATTTGTTCTTTTTTTTAATTTTATTTTAAGGATATTTATAAATATCATCGAATGCGCCCATGTGCTGATTATGTATAAGAGTTGGGCTACATAACTTTTGTTTTAAAGCCAGGAAATTGAATACATCGTACTAATTTCTTTATACCTCAAACTTTCCCAATCCGACGGAGACTTGCTTGAAGATCCAACAATTTACCGAAGGCTTATTGGCAAGCTCCTTTACCTCACTATCACTCACCCAGATTTGTGTTACTCGGTCAATCGATTGAGCCAGTTCATGGTTGCACCCGGGGTTCCCCATTTGCATGCTGCGCATCGGATACTGCAGTACATAAAGGGCACCCCAGGTCAAGGGATCTTTTTTGCTGCCAATTCTCCTATTCAGCTTAAGACCTTCACCGATTCAAATTGGGCCGCTTGCTCGGATTCTAGAAGATCCATTAGTGGTTTTTGTGTGTTTTTGGGTACTTCTCTAGTCTCCTGGAAGTCCAAGAAATAACAAACCGTATCTCGCTCATCTGCAGAAGCCGAATATTGGTCCATGGCCAACACCACTTGTGAATTGATTTGGTTGCTCTCCTTATTGAAAGATCTCAAGGTCGAGCATAATGGACCAGCTCTACTGTTTTGTGACAATCAGGCAGCCCTCCACATTGCTGCCAATCCTGTGTTTCATGAGCGCACAAAGCACATAGAGATTGACTGCCATGTTGTGCGTGAGAAAATACAAGCAGGTTTTTTGAAGACGCTGCACATATTCTGTTTGTAGGCTATATAATGCCTGGTAGTAATCAATACAAAATCAGGCAGTGTTCATTTTCATTCCGTTTCATAGCTCTCCTGCTTCTTTTCTAATAATTTACACAGATTTTGTCAAATATTTAATACTTAATTAACAGAATAACTAAAACTGAAACATAATAAAATCTCATAGACTAACTGTGTGACGTTTTAAAAGTTAAATACTAAAATAAAATTAAAATAAATCTTAAAAACCATTTGGGGGATTAACCCAACGATAAATATTCAGGAATTGCCATGTATGTGTGTGTATATATATTCAATGAGAAGATAAAGAAACTGCCTTTCTCACTACCTCCAATTGAGCGAAAAGAGTGTTTACAAGTGGCATGTTTGTTGGTCAAGAAAAGGCATATATATGCACATATTAAGCTATCAGCGTCTACATCGTATCGGAATCATTTCTACATTGCTTTGCCGCTGTATTAATATATAGGCTCGTTCATTTTGAGAATTCGAGTTTTTAATTCGAGCTGATATGTGACATTTTTTAAGCGCTTTTCACTATAGTAAAAAAAAAAGTTAGATGTAATATTTTCTGAGAGCTTTTTACTGTAAAAACCTAAAATTGAAAACTCGAATCGGTGAAATGAACGGGGTCATAGTGTGTGATCCGAGTTGCGTATATTGGTATAACTTTCCAAAATGGCAATAAATAGATAAGATAAGATCACCATGTATGGACCAGTTTAACTTATCTGTCATCTCTTTAATATCATTTTTCTTTGAATAATATTCGGGGCATCTATTACGGTATGTGGGTGTCACTTGAACAACCACAATTTTTACAGCGTGTGTGATGCTGTGTAATTTAGAACAATTCGTTATAATGTGACGCCAATGTATAGTGTTTTTTTTTTACACGGTCTAAATACAATTTTTCTTTAAACTAAAAAGGATAAGAAATTAATATATCTTATGGGTTTAGTCAAAATAACATTTTTTTAGCGCTTATACAATATACTTTAGATTAGATATGTGCATAATGTATGAGCGGAAGAAATGGATTTCGACTAGAGTAATTTGAGTATTTTTCCTCTGAAAAAAATTAAAATATTTTATTAAAGAATAATTCACGTGCATATAGTTAACCGATTGTGATTGGAATTAAAATAAAAAAGGTTTATTTTGCTTTGCCTACGGAACATATATAACTATTCTGTCTAGTTTAGAATCATGAAGAATACTATATATATAACAAATTAGCAATCAATCAATATGAATTATAAGAACGTTTTTCTTTTCTCTTTCTTTTTTTCGTTTTCGTTTTCGTTTTCAAGTTTGATTTTATTAAATATAGATGCAGCTGTCGCAATCCTTTGGGAGCAACCCACAAGTTTATGTTTGATTTTGTATAGAAATTACCAAAAAAAAAATTATTCCTTTTTCTTTGTATTTTTTAAAAATTTTATATTAAAGTGTGATGTAAAACTGAACCATAAGATTTTATTAAGTTCGGTTAAATTATCATTCTTTTAGTTTAATATAATTTAACATTAATCTAACGATTAAGAGAGTAACCTACCATTAGTAGAGTTATTTTCTTTTTTTTTTTTTTTTTTTGAAATGAATAGAGTTATTTTCTACATAATATCATTAAATTCTCTATTCTTTTTTTGGTTTTCAACCCCCACAAAAGTAGAATAAATTGAAAATTTAGTTGACCGGCTAGCCTACAAGTAATGTGCTAATAACTTGACCGCCCACGAATTGAAATAAGGTTTCTTCTTCTTCCTCCTCTCCGGGTTATAAGGTATAAAAAATATTGTTATGTACATACACTATCAAATTTGATATATAATTAGTGAGAACAGAAGGGATTGACAAGAACACTAGAAAATAAGTAGCAAAAAGATAAAAGGTGGATCTATACTCAAACGAACAGAATATTGTGGAAAACTCTGTGGTAGGGTAAGGGTATGATACTCACACACACACACACACACACACACACATATATATATATATATATATTGTATCATGTATAACAAATGTATAGATGAAAATTAAATTCTTTGTAATTATAAATCTTTGGTTGTGTTTAATAATAAAACAGAAATGAGAACATAACTAATTGTCTAGCTACAGAAACTAACCTACATGCAGCTGATCATTATTCTCCGGCGCACAAAAATTGAACGGCGCCGGAGATGCGGCTCCGGCAGAGGGGGCAAGAGTTGCAGATGGAGAGCCAGGCGGTGATGCAACTCGCGTGGTACACGTGTCCGCACGTGATTCGTTCACCGGTCTCGCCGGAGTAGAAGTTCTCCATGCAAACCGCACAATTAGAATCAACGTTCACCGTTGATATGGGCATGCAGTCGACGACCAAAGGGTTCTGTGGCGCTTCCGAGACTGTTGTGATCTCATGATGATCATCGTCGTATGGGGTGGAATACTCATCGGCCAAAGCGAGAACCTCGTCGAGATCGAATTGTTGGTCGATCATGGGAGAAATCGAAGGTCTGAAGTTGGACTCTGAGATTAGAGTAGCCATGGTGAAATTGGATTGAGAGAAAGAGAGAGGGAAAATGGAGCTTGTGTCGGCTTTTGGTTCTACACAATAGGCAATGTTAGAGTCGAATAGTCATATATAGTGATATTTTTATGCCAATTTTTTCTTTTTTCTTTTCTTTTTTGTATTTATTTATTTATTTATTTACTTTTTAGGATCTTCTATCTTAAGTCGGTAACAGTGTCAATTTTTAATTGTTAAATTTTATCAAATTTATAGTAAATTAAAAAAATATGTTCTAAATTAAAAAAAAAATATACATAAGAAAAAATTTAACAGTTAAAATATAAAAAGGTATCTATAATTCGTTTTTCTAATCTTACGGAAGAAACTCCCTTTATTCTTTTGCTAATAAGAAAAAGAGCAATTTGATAAGGTTAGCTGGTTGCGTGATTGATAAAGAAAACGAGAGGAGGAAAATTGACTTCTTCAACATGCCGATTAAGTCAATTTCTAGATGCCATTGGTTTTACGGCCAACACTTGTATTTATATTTTATGTGGTCCTATATAGCCCCCATGCCTGTCTGTTTTATCCTTTCCTTCTTCTTTTTTTCTTTGTTTTTGTTCCGTTGTAATCATTGAAATAGAAGTCTTAATTCCCTTTTGATTAGACAACTAATCTTATGGGCCCGTCTACAAGTTAGTGATTAAATTACAATGCGAAGACGGCACCGTTTCAAGGGGTAACCAAAAATTGTAGACTACGCACACACGTCGCTGGCTGCAGAATTCGTTGTCAGCTTGTTCGTGCCCAGCATATTAATCAACTTAAATTTAATGTAAATTAAGGATTTTGTTACTAAATGCTTGATCACTTGAGACAAAATTAGTAACGGACACTTTCATATATGAATTAGCAATTATTTGAAGTTTACATATAAAGTCAAATAGTCAATTTATCATTATCATTTGTGTCACCCACTAATTGCAATTGCCTTCCACGTTTGTGAAAAAAGATTAATTTCATAATGCCTCCTGAACTTTATACATTATTTTAATGTCTCATGAATTTTGATAAGGGTATTCCTTTCACTCCTATATGTACCCCAACTTAAAATATCTCATACATTTATTAAACTAACAAATTGATGACATGACACTACTTCTATTTTTAAAAATATCCCCTAAAATATTAATTTTAAATCTACTTACCCCCTGAAATATTAATTTTGTGTCAATTTGCCCCCTAATTTTTTTAAAAGATCCGAGTAAGTTGACACAAATTCAATATTTCAAGGGGTATTTATAATAAAAAAAATATTAGTTCAGGGGGTGTTTTTAATCAATTTTATACTTTAGGAGGTGAAAAACCTAATTTCAAAATTCAAGAGACATGTTGAAATAAGGTACAAAGTTCATGAACATTTATGAAATTAATCCTTATGAAAATCAAGGGCGTGTTTACTAAACGGTAAAGGAATATAATGGGAAAGGTAATAGATTGGAAAGGAAAATAAAGTAATAAGATTAAGGGTCATTGGTTCTTTTTCAAGTGTTTATTTGACTATTAGATGGTGTGATGAAAATCAATCATATTCCATTTCTAGTGTTTACTAAAATTAAGAATACCAATATAATCAATATAATCACTAAAAAGTTTTTTTACACATGAATTAAATAGTCATCGGTTATATAGTAATTCATCAAAAGTAAATAAATAAATTAGACATTCATTTCCTTCCATAAAAAATTAATACTAGAGGGATGTAAAAATTGATGTTCTCTTTTTTCATTTCTTATATTGTATGCGTCCACTAAATCTTAATTACTGATTTTATAAATAAACATATTATTAAGAGAATCAAGCATTATTTTCCCTTTTTCTATACAAAATAAACTTGCCCCAAATGTAAAGTACCTATTCACATAACCATAAAAAAGAAAAAAGTTTTAGCAAATTATTGCTTTATGTTATGTACTTTGGGGAAAAAAGAAAAAAAAATTGCATCTTTTTCTTAATTAAGGCGGTCGGATCACACACAGAACATGTTAAGAAACTTTTTGGATTAATGTTAGTTACTTATTTGAAGCAAATAATTCAATTTGACATTTTCTAAACAAAAAGTTAAGGCATAGAAAGTCGTCCCTCCGCACTTTCTGCCTCTTATTTAAGGACAAGTCAGTGTCTAATCTATTAAGGTTGGGAAACTAGGAAAAAAATAAAAATAAAAAATAAAAAATAAAATTGTGGTTATCTTAGTAATTGTGTCATAAAGGCCAAAAACAAAAACAAAAAAATGGAATGCATTTTGCAATTATGATAATTACATCGAAGTCAAGAAAATATTACTTTCAATCCGTATTCGACGTGTGAGATACAATACCCGCAAAAAATTGAATGGAACTGGGGTTAATTAAAGGAACTTTAATTCCTGAAAATTAGTTACCGCTGACATCAACATATTACATATACAAGACCTGCAAAAATTGAATGGAACCAAGGTTTAAAGGAAATTTAATTCCTAAAAATTAGTTACTGCTAGAATCAACATACTCAAGGCTTATATAAATACACGGACAAATTTTTAATAGTTATATTTTTCGGTAATCACCTCTAAATATAGAAATTTAATGATGTAATGTAATAAAAAACTAATTTTATTAATTATCATTGATTTTTTTGATCAACTATTCAATTTATTACAACCGTTAGATTAATATATTGTGGCAAAAATAATAATATCTAAGGGCCCGTTTAGTTCGCTGATTCAAGTTTTTATTTTGAGTTGAGATACGACTTTATGTGGAACTTTTACTGTAACAAAAAAATTAGATGTGATTGTTTATGAGAGCTTTTTACTGTACCAAAACTTAAATCGGTAAAATGAACGAAACTTAATATTAATGAATAAATATTAAAGTAAATAAAGGAATAATATTTGAGCTCCAAAGGAGATTTGGCATTTATTAGGTGGACCATATAACTGAATGCCGACTCCACAGGCTACGTGAATTACACTATATATTCGTTGAAATAAGAAAGATAATTGCTCTGCCAGCGCCGCCTTTGCTTATTAATCGATTCAAACTTGTACAAATATGTGGTTTCTTGACTATTATTTAGAATCAATGTCAATTTTTCCAAGTCAATTACGAACACATCAAGAACTCAAAACGAAAAACAAAAACAAAAAACAAAAACAAAAACAAAAAAGAAAAAGAGGAAAAGGATCAAGCGTGCCCACAAAGGGATTGCCAATTTATATGAGGAAGAAGCAAAAGGCTCTATCCTTTCAACTTGGGTTTATTTTTGTTTTAAGGATTGGACTAGTTGACTTCAATATTGATAGCAGAAACAAAACTTTTGCAACTTTTTTCGGCAAGTGGCGGAGAGAAAAGGAACATGATGCGTATGTTTTGTTGAGTAAGGCAGAGAAGAGGAATGATTAAGGATAGAGTACAGGGATAATTAATTTATACATATGCAGTATGTTGGAAATCGTGTGAGTTGATTGTTAAGAGAGAATTTATTTATTTATTTATTTATTTTGTGTAAATTCAAAGGGTGAAAATGACACGTTTTGGCTTATGAGTTGGAAATGAAGTTTTCATGTTTCTAGAGTTGATAACTCGGTAGCTCATATTTTAATCTCTTATGCGTTTCATGTTGTGTTGGATATTGCCCAGTCAGAAGCTATCCTAAGATCTTTAGCTTGGTTTATACTTGTTGATTTGGCTTAATAAAATTACAACTTTTCCTATAAAAAAAAATGACATGTTTTTAAGTTTAAGAGGCACATTTCAAAACTTGGTTAAATTCAGGAGAAATAACTAAAATTTATCCTAATGTTTTTGTGAAAATGACGGAACCAAACATCTAAATGTCTAAATTAAAAAAAAAAAGAAAAAGACAAGCAAACAATCATCAAAATTGATCGATGCAAGATCAGAAGAGGTCGGGATTAATGTCTAAACATAAATACACAACTACACAATTAGTATATTATATTCATGGAACAATAAAGAATAAGAGTACTTCATACAAAATTACCCAAGTACTCCAAGTAAATTTTTGAAAAAAAAAAATACTAATCGAACTCCACCAAAATCACACCTATAGACGACATATGTATTTGTCACTCTCTTGAAGTGATTCTAAGTAAGGTGGTCATGACTCCTCTTGGAAGATTTTGCAGCGGCAAAGTGGGCAAGAATTGTGGTGCACAGACCGCTCGGCGATGCAGGATTGGTGGTAGACATGGCCACAAGGGACTTGCTTCCCACCCTCCCCCGGTTGAATTAAAGCCATCCATGCAAACCGAACACACGTCGAGACCGACACCGGTGACGACCGTCAGCATGCCGACGACCAAATTGTTAGCCGCCAATATCCAATGCCTCGGATCTTACGGCAGTGTGAGGCTGTCGTCCAGATCAAAAGACATCATGGGACAGTTTAGTAGTGAAGATGTAGCATCCATGGAAACAGAGCTGGTCTAATGATTGGAAGATTATTTTGGAAGATTATTTTGGAAGGCAACTTAATGGAGAAATTGGAATCTCAAAAATGTTAATTGATAGACTTCGGTTGAAAAATTTGGGAGGTGATGAACCTGAGCAAAGAGGATATATTTATGGGAGCAAAAAGTGCACTTCGTCTTTTGTCTTTCAACCCCACAAAAAAAAAAAAAAAAAAAAAAAAAAAAAAAAAAAAAAAAAAAAAACCAATAAAAAAAAGGGCTTTTTGTTTGAGTTTCCTTGTAAGAGGGTATACGTGGCCCAACTCTTTTGACCATGTCATGCTTTATGGATAAAGAAAAAAGGCTGCCTTGGTTTTTTTTATTGTTTTTCTTATTATATTTTATTTTTTTTCTACAATTCCACTATATATATATATATATTTGTGAAATGTCATATTAATTATAATATTACATTAGAGATGATCTGAATAAATTAAATAATCCGGTTGTTGCTGGTTTGTTGAAAGCTAATGTTAAGCTTTCAAGTATTTCCTGGGATATAATATTTGGTAGGAGGATA